GTTTTATGAAATTAAAAAAATGAACCTTTGTATTATCTTAAATGTATAACACGACCTCGAAAAGAAATGTATTAAAAAAAAATCTAAGTAGCAATATATTCAATATATAATACGATATTAAAGTAAAAAAATAAAACCTTAGAAGTATTACTTTAAATGTATAATACAAAAAAAAAACTGTTGTTAAATTAAAAAAAAACCAAATTGCATTATATCTTCATGTATATTACGATTATGAAAACTTATTTTGTAAATAATATACCTCGAAAGAAGCAGTTGTATCAAATTAAACAAATAAAGTCCAAGTTGTGTTATTTTTAATGTATACATGATTTTAAAAAAAATTCAATTTTAAAAACCAAAAATATATCATCAAAAAAAAGTGAAATCAAAATATTATTCCAAATATACCTATTGTAATTATAGTAAAAGAATACAATGGTGGAAACAAAAAAAGTCAAAATAATAACATAAAGAAAAAGTGATATCAAAATATTATTTCAAGTATATTGATTAGAATAATCAATATCGGAAGGTATATCTCGAAAAATAATACCAAATTACCAAATAAAACCCAAGTGGTACTATCTTTTAGTCTTATGCATTATAACATAAGTGGTAATAGTATTGTATATTTCAATACGACATGAAAGAAATTTCACTACAAAAAATTAAAAAGTATATGTATATTACTGGAAATTATTTTTAATTATACAACTATTTTTAAACAATAAAACTCAAGTGGACCGTATCTTTATACCTCTTCAGTACTTTCTATTCCAACCCGAATGGTAATAGTTATTAAAGAAATTCGTAATGGTCAGCAATATTCTGGGAAGCTATTTCTCACAATCGTAGTACACTTAATATAAAATACGGAAAACATTTAAAATGTAAAAAATATAAATAGCGAAAAAATAAAATAAAAACAAGAAATGCAATAAATAGTGTAATGAGGGCCGCAGAAAGGAATTTTGCATCGATAAGTAGCAAATTATGTGACAGAAAAATCAAAGATGGGAAGAAATATCCGTTATCTGTGTATCGTTATTTTGAAGAATCCGAAGGTTGGGCTGACTTGTGCTAAGTTAGCGCAATTTAAATATGCAATTTTGTATTATTAAGATAACTAATGCGAATATAAATGTTAATTGTATGTAGAATCGTATAAAATTATTTTATTATAACTTCTTTTGTTATCACTATTTGAAGTAAAACTTGAGTATAATGTTAGCACAACCTAGCACAATTTAGCACAATTGAGAAAATTGAAAAAAAAAAAAACGAAAATGGGGGGCTGATTAAAAAATGGTTTTTTTTTATTTTTTGACGCATTTTTCACATTACGGGTTTAATATTCTAGCAAAATGTAGCACAAACCTAGCACAATTCAGCACAACTGTCGAAATTATTTAATTCTAAATGTGGGGGGGCTAACTTCGTAGAGACAAGGAAACGTCTCAGCAACGTGCACATCTTATCACGGTCAGATCGTAGAATTCTCTCGAAGGCGCGTACGCTAGTGACGCGATACGTTACGCGAATACGCTTCATTCGCTTTATTGCACAAACTGTTTGTCACTAAAATCGATGTCTCGTAGACGTTAATTTACATGTGGGGCTGTCATGCACTCTCGGCGCGATACGCCACTGCTGGGCGATACGAAGGACATTGTTCGAAATGCAATATAAAGTCCGATACGCGCACGGGATCGCAACGCAAGGATACAAAAGTTTCTTCCGTGGCGAAAACACGATGGGACGATAAAGAGACGCAATCTTCTGAGACGCACGACAACGCGAAGACAGAATCACGACACATCATTACGCTAGTTCCGCGCGCTACGATATAGTACAACGCAAAATTACTTGAAGTTTAACGCGATAACGTAAAACGCCAGTACCGATTCTGTAATTCTTAACGACAGTGTCGATATCGTTATATTGTCGTTGCGCAGATATGGTAAAAAAGCTGCGCAAAGACAATATAACGATACCGAATTGTCGTTAAAAGTTACAAAATCGGAGTACTGATGACTCGAATTTCGATATGACACGACAAGACGCAACACACGGTTATACGCTTCTTCAGAGCATAATAAGGCAATTACACAAAGTTACATACGACACGATATTCACTTGAGAGCGCGTACCAAAACGGACGCGATGTACTCGACGAGTAATGGCCGCTGCCGAAACGTTCACTTTCGTCGCACAAAACGCACGCACACTACTTCACACTCTGGAAGCGCGGGTTCTTGACGCAACACAAATGCTCTTTCGGCGGTTCCGATACGATCTTCAGGGGCACGTCCCATGAATGACGATGCTTTCCTGCCTACGATATACGAGGAGAAGGCTTCTCGTTCTTGATGTCGCCTGCATGCCGCTTTTCATCGAATTCACGATGCGCCAACGAACGCTAGCACTAATTGCCTGTCGACGGCGATTCCAAAGCACAAGCGCAGTTCTTTCGACATGTTCGAGACTTTACCGAATTACACGAAAGGCAACTTCACCGGCCTCTTCAGCTCTCTCGTCCTTTGTTCTGACGGGCCTCTGCTTCCGGGCCGGGAAACTTTTTTTCGTTCACTCGCTTTCGAACGTCCACCTCGGTCCGAAGATTACCAAAGAGAGAGAGAGAGGACGGGATCGCGATCGATAGCGCGGTCGATAGGTCAGCCCCCTCAAATGGTCCATCTACAATGAGACTAGTAAGTCGTAAGAAATTGACCAATCACAGTCGAATATGAGAAGAATAATCGACTGTGATTGGTCAATTTCTTACGACTTACTAGTCTCATTGTAGACGGATCTTAAGGGGGCGCGTAAGAATGATGTGCGGTGTCGCGGCCAATTATCGCTGGCCGTGTGGCCCGGCACGGACAACGCCGAATCCTACGAGGGAACTCCTGCGGCTCCCGATTTCTCGCCACTACTCCCCAATTTTGATTAGTTCCGCGCAATGCCCACGATGTCTTATCTAGGTGGAGGTCACCTGGGTAACTCTTCCACGCTGCTAAGTAGATTTGGGCCCGACCGCCGTCGACTACTACGGTCTCGCGTCCTCTATCGCGGCCTCTCGGCGTCGTCGCGACAGTCTGCTCCGTCGTCTCGCCAAACGAGCGCAGCGTTGTCTCTGCCGCGCTATCAGCCCTTGCTTTTCCCGAAAATATGTCTCCTGGATCCTTCTTCCAGGATGATCCGCAATACTCCCATGACGACAGCCCTTCCTCAGTTTCATCCTCCGCGAACGCTTGATAAGGCGCCACAAATTACATATAAAAGAATTGAGAATTAACACACTCGGTTATACGCGCTACACGGGACCCCCTGGTGATTTCGGGTTTTTTTGCTCTTCCTTGCCCGGCTTTGAACGCGTAAGCGCGCTTTGTGACGAGGGAGGGACGCTGCTCCGCGGTAGCGGAATGGCCACGTCACAAGCTAAAAAATGAATATTTTGTTTTTTCCTATATTTTTGTATGATCAAATAGACATAAATTATTATAAACATGCATTTATTATTAAATACTTTTTACATACACGATATTCTATTCAAGTCCGACCGAATATCTCGAAAACTGAATTTGATAGGCAAGAATATTTCAAACAAAATTTATATATCACAAAAATGGAGGAAATAATAATAAAATTTTATGAAAAGAATTGATTTTTTAAGGCCACATGAAGATTATTTTCATTCTTAAAAATGAAATTATATGATTTCTTTTAGATAACATAATTCTTTTAGTTATGATGCATATAAAAAAATCAACAGTTTTTGAAATACTTTATACTTTATTCTAGCATATTTTGAATTAAAATATAAAATATCTCATAAATTATTATATTTTCGATAACCGCATCTTAATACGTTTATGTACAGAGTAACAAAAATCAATTGAGGTAAAGAAAACATAATTACGTTTAAAAAAACATGTAATTGCATAATTTTTATTAGAATATAGGATAATTTAATATATTTAGCTTCAATGAACTTAACCTTGACATGTGTTATCAAAGTCATGACTCTTAGTAACAGAAAGTTGTAATCTTGCTCATTATTTATTTAAAAAATTATTAATAAATAAATATATGTTAATTTTATAAATATTAATATGAATCGATTATGAAATGTTCAAACAATTAAGATGAGAAAATGTCAACATGATCGAAACGAATGTTAAATTCACTTAATTGTATTTATATGTGAATCTTACAATTTTTAGTTCAAACAAACTATGCATTAAATATTTGTCGGTCTTAAAACACAGTTCTAAACTGACAAGAATCTGGAGTGTATAATATCACAATTAAATTAACAAAGCAATTTAATAATTTAATGCTAATGAGTATTTTTTTTAAATCCTGTAAAATAACTTATTTATTGTGAAAAATATTACCTCAGCCAGGATTTGAACCTTGCCCTCCCTGTTATCTGGACGGGTGTCTTACCATTCGACTACCAGCATGTGATAATATTTATCACAATAATCAATAAAGAGTGATCCTAAAAACAGGCCAAAAATGCCCTGTATTCTCGCCCTCGATTCCGGACTTTATTTTGGTGATAAATGATAGTAAACCATGAGACACTAATTTTCTGAAACTTTCAAATGGAGCATACTCTTTGTTGGCAAGTTATAAAACCTCAAAGTTACCATTTTATACCGTGTTTCTCAAAACGAATCTTTGCATGCGAATAGCTTTTAGGCAAAGCAATTTTGAGAAAAATGTTTCAGACAAAAGTTGTAGAATGTAAAATGGTACATAAAATAATGACCTTTACTGTGACCGTGAAGACACTCCTGAAGATTATTTAGAGGTCAACTTTTGATTTTTTAATGAGAACTTTTATTTAAAATAACGCTTGAGAGTGAAATAATTATTAGTATTTTTTTGGACTGGGGGTTGAATAATATAGAGATGGCTTTGGGGTCAAAGTTGGTTTCATTACTTTTCTTATTATTTATGTTTACAATAAGAAAGAGTTTCCACTCTTCTACTTGCTTGCAAATAATTTGTAGGAAAAGCATTTCGGATAAAAGTTTCAAATAAAAATTGTAGGCTTTGTCATGGTAGAAAGACAAGGGTATGCTCATCCGGTGGACGAATTTAGAAAGCTCTTGCGCAGCAACTTGCTACGTCACATTCGTGCAGTCTCAGTAACATCCGGCGTACTTCGGCCGGATAAAATGGCTGCCAGACGGCCGAACGATGGACGCTTATTGGACGTTTGGTATTGCGGGCGCACATGCTTGTTTAAATTTTATATGTTCTCTCGAAAACAATTATTGTATACAGTTTGTATTAACATTTTACAGAGGTAATTTTATGCCTGGTAAGGACGCGAACGTACATCCGAGTACGAGAAATTAACC